GTGCCCAGGTGTGCCCAGGTGTGCCCAGGTGCGTTACCTTATCTAACAGCTGTCTGGTCTCCTCGCAGAGGGGCGCGTGGGAGAACATGCAGTGCCCAGGGCAGGATCTATGTGTACCCAGGTGTGCCCAGGTGTGCCCAGGTGTATCTATCAGTACCCAGGTGTGCCCAGGTGTGTGTATCAGTGCCCAGGTGTGCCCAGGTGCGTTACCTTGTCAGCAGCTGCCTGGTCTCCTCGCACAGCGGCGCGTGGGAGAACATGCAGTGCCCAGGGCAGGATCTATGTGTACCCACGTGTACCCAGGTGTGTGTATCAGTACCCAGGTGTGCCCAGGTGTGCCCAGGTGTGCCCAGGTGCGTTACCTTGTCCAGCAGCTGCCTGGTTTCCTCGCAGAGGGGCGCGTGGGAGAACATGCAGTGCCCAGGTGTGTGCCCAGCTGTATCTATCTGTACCCCAGCTGTACCCAGCTGTGTGTATCAGTACCCAGGTGTGCCCAGGTGTGCCCAGGTGTGCCCAGGTGTGCCCAGGTGCGTTACCTTATCTAACAGCTGCCGTGTCTCCTCGCAGAGGGGCGCGTGGGAGAACATGCAGTCGTCGCCGTTGATGCAGAGCCCGGTGGTGTGGAACAGCTTGCAGGGGAAATCCCGTGGGAACGTCAAGGAAACTTCCAGAACGCCAAACCCCGCCCAGGGACGGCTTAGGGTGAATTTGGGGCAATTTAGGCCAATTTAAGGCCGATTTTAACCTGGTTTTGGGGTCACTGAAGGCCAATCCTGTGTCAGTTTTAAGCCCATTTTCAGACGATCTAGTTTTAACCTTATTTCACTCAATTCTTTGGCCAGTTTTAAATGGATTTTAAGTCGATTTTAGGCCAATTCTGGGCTCTTTCATGGCTGAGTTCAGGGTGGTTTAAGGCAAATTTCAAGCCAACCTAGGGCCTGTTTTAGGGAACTTTCAGGTTGGGTTTAGCCTGGGTTTATCCCGGTTTAAATGAGGATATCGTGCACGTAGGGGCAGCTCTCGGGGGCAGTTTTAGGGATGGTTTATCCCAGGTTCAGGGATGGTTTATCCCAGGTTCAGGGATGGTTTATCCCAGGTTCA